ACAAATTGCGTAAGATATAATAAATATTGCATTTACAAATTGCGTAAAATAAAGTAATCTCATACAAGTTCTTAGACTAAGATTATCAAAAGTTTTTAATAATAGGATAGTAATTGCTTTGTATCGAAATCAAATAAGTGTTGTTTTGTTGCACGTTTAAAATGTTGAAATGAATTTAAAGTTTTTACATTACTTGTTAAAAGCAAGTTCCATAACTGCGGTCCTCGGCTGAATATCGAAAAATCAGCTTGTTTTGATATCGTTTTTGGTATAATAAAATTATTTGTTGAGTATTTGTGATTTAAAGAAAAAAAAAATAAGTTTAGAAAATGCTTGGTAGCATACCATTTTTAAACTTAAACATAAAAATAAGTATAATTATTTCATACTCCAATTTCTCTTATTAGTGGTCTGGCACTAGCGTATTTCTTTGCATTTAATATCAAGCGACTTGCTCGTTTTTGTATTTTGTAGATCTTATTTAAGATTATATTTTGAAAGACAAGTACTTGCCCAGATAATGTTGCAGTAGCTTATGTAGCTATGAATAAATGCAAAATAAATATTTTTTAAATAATTTGTGTTTAGTAGTTGTTTTGTTTTATACATAATACCAATAATTTTAGATATTTTATTTTCTATTACTTTGATATGATTACTCCAGCTAATATGTTCATTAAGTATTACGCCTAAAAACTTGATTGAGTATTCTCGTTTAAGTTTAGTTTTATCAATTATTAAATCAGGTAGTTTTAAGGGGAGGGTTTCAGATTTTGATAATTTTGTGAAAAGAATATATTTACTTTTTTCGACATTTAAAGAGAGTTTTTTAGCCTTAAACCATTCGTTCAGGTTTTCAAGTTCTTGACTAACAGTGTTAAATAATAGACTAAGGTTTGTGTAGCTTTTGACAATTTGTGGGTTGTTAATTTGAAAATAAGCTTGTTGTTATCAACGTTTTTTTTAAAAACGTTGCTTTGTTAAAATTTATGACGATTTCGATCGCATTATTTTTTCGTATTTATTTATTAGCGTATTTCATTCAACCCTAAACACTCCGTTTCCGTTTTTAACTGATAGCTTTTTTTTCCTAATCTTTTTTCAAAATTCAATTTAGCAAATTCAAGAATATTTTTTCGAAATTAAATTTAGCAAATTTAGTTTTGAAAAAGATTCTTGATCAGCGTAAAAAGTTGTATCAGTGAACATTTTAAGTTCAATGATATCGAATTTAATTTCCGAGATATTTAAGTTCCCTTTTCAAACATATAAAAAAAATCTTGCTACGCATTCGAAAACATATAAGTTTATAACAAAAAATTTTTTATTAAAAAATAAAATTTTATACAATCTTATTCAGAAAAATATTATCTACAATATAATCAAAAAATATTTGCAAAAACATTATTCAATAGTTAATTAAGAGCGAAAGAACAAACGTTGTCATAACTATTTCATTCTACCCGCTACTTTCATTTTACCCTGTTTTACTCTAAAAACTAAGTGTATACAACATTTTGTTTATTTGTGGAAGTATAATTTATCTCCATTAATTTTTAAAGACCATTTTATTTTGAAACCATAAAGTAAGTTTAACATGAGAAATAATAGTTATGTAAATGCCCCAATCTGTCGAACGAAATACAATTAATTTTGTGATACTTGTTGTGCTCATCTTTGTAACAAAATTGTTTTGCCTAATTTATTTACTTATTTTTTTCAGTTTACAATATTAGTCATGATTCAATTAAAATAAACTATTAAAAGTAGTTTACAAATATATAAATTCAAAGCGTGATAACAGTGTTAAATAGGTTTCTGAAGATGAACATCACTAAGATTTTATCATCGGAACCTTTTTTGATTTTGACCATTAATTACCCCTAACTTATCTTGATTTAAAAAAAAATTCAAAGATTTCATTCTTTCTATTGAAACTATTTTAGAATACTTTTAATTAATTTATCTTGTGAAGAAATTATGTTTTATTGTTTTGAGTTATGTATGTCCAGTTTTTATTTTATACTCGAGTACAAGTTATATTAATATATTTAAGAATGATTTATTGCTTTAATTTTATTTTACGTACTCTTATTGAAAAAGTACTTTTATATTGTTTTACGTTTTCTCTCTTGTTAAAGCTTTCTGAAAATAAGACCACCGTGTTCTTTTAGAAGCCTTGTTTGTATTAGTAAAATATGCAAAATATATATATATATACATTACTTCAAATGTAAACAAAACGTATTTAAAAAAAAACAAAAAAAAACTAGTAATAAATTCTGCGCTTTAATTTTTCACTAAAGTATTTAATATTTTTTCCTAAGAGATTGTCAATAAATTACGTAACGCAAACTCTCACAATAAACAAAACAAAAAAGATTGAATGTTTTTTCTCGCAGAGCCTTAATTTAATTAAAAAGTCAAAATAGCCCATTAAATTTAATTAAAATTGCCGCGTAAAAGAGCCTAGTCCTCTAACTTCTGTTATTAAAATAAATTTTTCCTTGCGTAATTTATGGACGATCCGTAACTGTATAAAATCAGCGAAAATCATTAAGTTGTTTCACAAATTCTTGCCTGTGTTACTGCCGTATTAGGCAAAAAAATTTAAACAGGTTCGCGTTTAAAACAATGGCTAGAAACACTTAGCCGAATGATTCAGTTTTTTTTACGTATAGAAAAGGAAGCGAGCGCGAACGCAGGCTTCCCCTACCAGAAATTATACTGTCGAGTTACCGACGTTAGCGGTAATCGCAGAGGTCAGCCGGTACGAAGTGCAATGCACAAGCCTCACTCTGGAAGAAGCCCCTTGTGGATCGAACTTACTTTTCAGTAAGGTAAGTATATTGATGAGGCAATTTTTAGACACGTTGAAATTATTACACAGTTCTGTTTGTGGGTTTGTTTTCAAAAATGTATTTAATTACTGAATTAAAAAAAAAAAAAACATTAAATGCTTCAAAACGATGAAAATACGTCTACTTGATAATAATTGGCATTTAAAAACGAGGAGATATTTTTTAAAAGGGAAATTGTTTCGGCGTTTGCGATCTTCCAGGTCGACTGTTTTTCTTTTATTCTCTGACTAATTTGCCTTGTAAATGATTTTATTCCGATTAACGAATTTTTAATTTCGTCCATTTTTTTGTCAACTTTACTTATCTTTGTCTCAAGTTGATCACCGTTAAATTTTAGGCCACGTTTAAGCTCTTTAACATCTTTTTCTAAGTTATCAACTTTTTCTTGAAAGTATCTGAAAGTTTTATTAAAACGCTTTAAAATTGTGGCAGATTGCTCGATTGATCAACTCCCTTAGCATTCCTATCATAACTACTCTTTCATTCTACATTACAAAAATCAAAAAATACAAGTAGTCAAATATTGATGGAAAAACTATATCAGAGTTGATTGGTAATTATGGGTTGTATAGAGAAATTTTTCAGACAAAGTGTGTTTCTGTTAACTTTGTTAGCTTTAAAATTGGTGATGTTGTTATATATGCAGTTGGAGAATTATATCCTGCATTTTGTCTAATCAAACAAATTTTCGTATCTGATACTACTTTACTTTATTTTATTTGTCAAAAGTTGTTTATTATAACTAAATGCTATCACTTACAATCTTTTGAGGTTGACATTGAAAGGTAATTGTTTTAAATTGCTCTCACTTTGATACCATTATCTCACTTTGGCCGTTGAAACTACGAAATTTAAATAAAAGTAAATTGGCAGCATTTAACTTAGTAGCGTTTAAATTTATTTAATTTTTTTCTTTTTAATAAAAAAATTTGCGTAAGTATTTTATATTCTTTAGGGTAAAATTAAAAAGTCTTGTTTTTCAAAAGAGAAATGACATACTACCTATATTTTACTAACCATGTCTGTACTCCAAATTAAATAGATATTATATCTATTTAATTTGGAGTAAAGACATTGATAGTAGCATTCTAAGTTTTTAGTTATACTCATTCCAAATTTGTGTCACGAAAGAAACTATAGGTACCTTCAAGGAAACAAGTTTCAATTGTTATAACAAAAAATTTGAAATTCTATAAACAATGTCTTTACCTGAAACTAAATAGGCTTTATAAGTAGTATGTAAGATATTGTTGCCATCTGAATCCATCTGAGCATTTTTAGTTTTTTTCATTTCTATTTTAGTTTGCAAAGGTTACTTTCCTTTTGAAAAAACGAACTTTTCAATCCTGCTCTTTTTTTTGTATTTCTAAGTTTTAAACAAAGTAGATGTAATTTGTATTACCTGTTTTTAGTGAACTAATGTTATGTATTTATTTAAAAACAATAAATTATATTATTTTATATTATAATATATAACCGACAAAATTATTATATTATAGATAAGTATTATTTTTGCTATAAATTCTAAAATGATATATTTACATTACTTCATTTATCGGTTTCCTTAGTCATTTAGTGTTGTTTTTTTCTAAATAATTTTATATAATAAAATAAAAAACTTGATTATAAAATGATTAAGTAAAGTTGTTTTTCTATTACACTATTTTTCCTCATTTTTATAGTGTTATTAAAAATGAAGGATAAAAAAGTGAGAAGTAGAATGCAATGTCTCAAAGCAGGATGTGATTGTGATAAATACACAAAAGAGAAAGGTTTTGATTTGTGTGCCTATTGTGATCATGCACCAGTTTTACATAAAGGTATTTTGAAAAAGTATTTTTATATTATAACATTTCTAAATAATTATGAAAATATTACATATAACACAATTTTGTATACTTTATAGGTAGACGATTTGAATCTTGTTGAAGATATTGAGTTAGCTCATTTCTCTAAGAGCAATGCAATACTGAACACGTTATCCAGTACAGTTATTTTTTTATACCTTTTTGTCATGTGTTTAAAAATTCACTTAACAGTAAAAGTGGTAAAAGTAATTACATGTTACTCGTTTTTTTGTTTTTAATATTATATACATAATATTTTTTTCAAAAATACACCTAATAGTTTATAAATAATATTTAACCTCTCTCAGTATGTCAAGCGTGTTATTTGAACCCCAAAACTGTAAGAAAGAAAACGGATATGCTAACTTTGGTATTTGTCTTACATATTAAAAAAAAAAGATTTAAAAGAGGTTATAATATTTTTAAAAATACTTAAACACTTGATTTTTTTATGTAATAATGTTTCCCACTCTCACAATAATAGTAATACTGTTTGCAACCTATGTGAATTTGATTATAGAATCAGCTACTTTGAGCTGAAGTGAAATAGACTTCAGTTTGGACAATAACAAGGTAACAAGCCCAATAACAAGGTAACAAGCCCATTATATAATAACAAAGCCCAATAACAAGGTAACAAGCCCATTGAAGAAACAGTGTATACAACAAGCTAAGCCATTTCAAGATACAGCTGGTAAAATAGTTTTTGCATCAAAAACTGTACTTCATCATAAAAACAATACTCTCTTTGAGGTTTGAAATATTTTTCTTTATAATGTTTAACTATTTTTATAGTTTCTATTTCTATATTTCTGTTAAAGAAAATATTATAATACTTAATTTGCATTATTGATAGCATATCATTTGTATCATAAGTATGATGATTTTAATTATAAATTATATTTTGTTTAGTAACACTTAAATATTATTTATAAATTTAATAGAATGGTTATACCTCGATCCTGAATTCTTGCACAGATGGGATTATTGTGTTAAGTGCTTTAAATCTAACCTTTAGTTTACGCAGCAAGTTGGCTGGAATAGTAGTCAACCATATTATTCAAAAAAAAGGTTTGCAGTAAGTAATAAGTTATTAGATTTTCAAAATTAGTTTTATTTATTATTGTCTTATTATTTATTACTAAAGTTATAAATATAAAATTATATCATTATAGTAAAGCAAATACATACGAAAATTGGATAAAATTATTTTTGATATATAAATTGTTTTTAAATTTTTCTGTAGAAATTGTCCAACTAATGCAGATGTCTGTGAATAAGTGTTTATAAGTAACTTATAAACTTTATGAGTTGATGTGATCTATATGATTTTTAACGAAATCGTTGTTAGTGATATATATGTTTATTATCTTCTGTGTTAGGAAATATGGTATGCTGCTCCTACGAGTAAAAAAACTATAGCTGGTGGAAAGTTGTCCGAGAAGCTTCGCAACACATGGCAAAATATTAAATCAGTGGGTATTTTAAAAAATTTCAACGGCCAACAATTAGTTGAAAAACATGTTTGTAGCGATGGTATTCTTTATAAGATAGTTTTAGTTATTATAAATAGTATATTGTGTTTTATATTTTTAGAAAATTTTATATATCAATATGTTAATTATTAAAATTTTCTTTGATAAATTGTATTTTGATAAAATGTATAAATCTTTTCACAATTTTTTATCATATAATGGAGAAAGTTTAGTATTTTATTAGTTTTATTTTTAAACATTTAAAAAATTATATAGAAGAAGCAATTTAAGATGACCTTAATTGGTTTGAATTTAATAGTCAACCATGGACTAAAGTGTACCATAAATCGAAATCAACTTCAAAATTTAGGTTGAACTGTTTTCAATCTGGCACCAAAGACATTTCAAATTTTAAACTTTTTTTGGATCTAAAAGCAGATGTATTGGTAAGTATTTTAAATATTTGTTATATCTTATTTCATATGTCCATATTTCACATACTAAATGTTTGCCGCAGAAATTCAAAATAATATCTTTTTATAGGTAAGTATCGATTTTACTCTATATTTTTACTACTATAGGTGAGTATCGATTTTATTGAGTATGCAAAAGAATTATGAGCATTGTAGCAACTTTATGTTTCAAAAAATTCCACTACATGCAAAAAATTGATAGGTTTAGTTGCCAAGAAATATTCCATGCAAGATGGTAAGTGTTTTATTTTTAATAAAAGTTTATTAATTAGCATATATAGTATGATTAGCATAATATGATTAGCATACATATATCACAGTAGCATCATATGATAAGCATACATATATCAATGACAGCTTTGTCGGCAATCTGACAGACTGACAGTTTTTAAGATGGCGGAAAATTACCTATGTTCATACATCTAACTGACAATGGGAAAAACATATTTATACATTCATGTGTGTTATATATGCATATATCAGGGATTATCTTTTTCCGGATATTCCCGGAATTCCGGATATTTTTTAAGATTATTAGTTTTTCCGGATATCCAGAAGGTTTTCAATACATACAAGTTTGTGTATATATTTGTGTAATATATTTGATTTTCAAGGTTTTTTAGTCATCACTCATACAAAAATTAAAGAAAATCTCTAAAAAATTGAGATACAACTCTGCTAAAAGAAAATAAAGAGGAAAATAAGGGGAAAACAATTCCGGATTTTTTCCGGATATTTTAGGCGAACAATTTTCCGGATTTTTTAAATATGACCTGGATCATCTACGATATATATATATATATATATATATATATATATATATATATATATATATATATATATATATATATATATATATATATATATATATATATATATATATATATATAATAGGCAGAAAACATCAATTAATACGAATTCTCTTAATACAAATAATAATTTATTGTTAGTATTGGTATAATTTTTAGGAGCTGATGATGCTGGAAACCATAATCCAGCAAAAATTTCTAATAATAAATTATTATTTTTATTAAGAGAATTCGTATTAATTGATGTTTTCCGACTAATATAACATATAATGATGTCTTCTGACTAATATAATATATATATATATATATAAGGTATTATATATATATATAAGGACTAATATAATATATATATATATATAAGGTATATTTAGGATATATTTTTTTAAACTCATTCAAAATGCATGCAAGGCTCCTGTTCCATTCACAGATGCACTGATAAACAATAGAACGTTTACTATACTTTTGGGTTTTAAAAGATGGTACATTTAGTAATATATATATATATATATATATATATATATATATATATATATATATATATATATATATATATATATATATATATATATATATATATATATATATATATATATATATATGTGTGTATAGTCATTTGTGAAATTTACAAAATACATTTTACCAAATTATTTGGTTACTTTAACAAAAACATTTGGTGCATAAATATTCACCAAATGTTTTTGTTAAAGTAACCCAATTTTTTGTGAATTTCACGAAACGCTTTTTGCAGTGTAGGAAGTTAAATATTATTTACAAACAAAATACAATGCAATACGTGCTTTAAAAAATGAAAATAAGTTTTTTTATAAAATAGTAGCAAAAAGTAGCTTACGAAGTTCCATAAAAAAATATTTACTTAAGTTTGCTATTTTTGTTACTGACATGTAAATATCCAACTTTATATAGTTTAGCGGTACTTACCAAAATCGACCGACCCTAATATATATATAAATATATATATATATATATATATTTATTATATATATATATATATATATATATATATATATATATATATATATATATATATATATATATATATATATATATATATATATATATATATATATATATATATATATATATATATATATATATATATATATATATACTCCTAGTCGGGATTTATGGGAACATGCTTTTTTTTGTTTCCGGCCATATTTTTTTATTTTTAACTGCTTAAAATTAGTGTTTTACAACAAAAGCGCTCAAAAAATTTTTTTTGAGGGCGTTTATTTGGTCATCCAACTTTTTTTAAATTTTTTTTCGGAGTCCCAAGAAGTCCTTACGGTCTTTTCACAGAGCACCGCGGATGATCATTTGTTGGAAGTTCACGCCTCCTTTCTAACCGATGTCGCAACACTTGCCTAGAGGTGGGGTTTGAATCACTGATTCTTTGTTTCTGAGGCAAATGCGCTACAACTGCGCCACAACTGCTTAACTAATAACATATAGTTTTGCAATTGAAAGTTGAAAAAAAAAGAGTTTTTAAAAAAACCTTGGCATATAAAAAAACTATACTACAACTAATTAAATTCCTTTTTACCAGCATTACAACTCACTAATCACTATTTTTCGAAATATCTTTTAATCAACCTATATTCAATGCTGATGATTATTTTAAAAAAATCCCAGCCAGCAAGTCATATTGGGCCCTACATGAGGCAGCTTTATGGGGCCCAAATGAGTTGCCCACATCCCGCCCAAGAAAAATTGTTGTTGAGTGTGAATTGGGGCCCAACAGGGTAGCCCCTATGGGCTGCAAATGTAAGACCATATGGGTCTTACATCTCCAGCTCCACATGGGTCCCACATATTTTTTAATTAAGTAAAATATTTATTATATTTTAAGTGGTTATTTATTTATTTACTAATTAGATCATATAATTCAATATGCAATCATATTTACATATGACTTGAGTCTAGCTTTACAGAAGTGTAACAGGAAATCTAATTTGGGAAGAAAAAGGTAAACAGTAATAAACATTAATAAATATCTACGGTTTCTATAATATCTGTATATAAATATTTTTTTTATATATATAAAATAATATTTATTTACAATTTATTAAAATACTTTTTTTTTTTTTTTATTACAAAATAATAAATATTTACAAATTTTTTAAACTATTTCTGCGTTATAAATAAATAAATCCTCTTCACAATTAAAGAATTATTTCCGTTTATATATATATATATATATATATATATATATATATATATATATATATATATATATATATATATATATATATATATATATATATATATATATATATATATATATATATATATATATATATTTTTAATTGTTCATAATAATAAAAAAATAAAAATTTTTTTACATAGGTTTTAACATTGATTTTATAGAATATATTTTATAATATATATGTCTATTTTTCCTTGAAAATATCTTTTTGACTTTATATATATACATATGTATATATTTTTTTGTTTTAGAAATTTCTTATTTTTTTCGTGTTTTTTGATTTTATATTTTTTTTTCATTTATTTATTTTATATTTTTTTTTTGTTTTTTTTTTTGTTTTTTTTTTTTTCTAATGCCTTTGTGCGGAGAGAAATCGAGAATAAGAAAAAGGTTTTAGAAAAAGTTGATCAAGTTGAATTAATTATTTTAAGTGATGAAAAAAATTTTTTTTAAGTAAAATAATAATAAGGTACAGGAATTTAACACAAATACCACGTTACTAAAAGTTACAAAGAAACATGCAAATAATATTTTATATAAGGGCCGGCAGTGTTTGTCTAATCATAAATAACAATATTTTTGCAGTAATTATAAAACTTATATTTGTAGAAAACAGGAAACATTTAACTAAACATTTAGTTCATGTTATGAGCCAGTGTATTTTTTAGCTATGAGCCAGTGTATTTTTTATGAGCCAGTGTATTTTTTATGTTTAGTTTTAGGTTCCCATTTTCTATTTGACATAAAACGTTATTGATACAAAAAGTTTAACAGAAAATGTCCGTAGTGTTTCTACGGACATGGTAATTATATTTTAAAGTAATAATATTTCTGATATTTCTGATAATTATCCTGATCACTGCCATTGGGTCAATTTTTGAATTGTTAAACAAATGGTGGCATCTGCTGTTCCATATTTCACTCATGATGGTTTGAGTGATTGTCAAAAGCAGCTGCGAGGTAGGGTTTTTCTCCGATAAATTCGCCGTTTCAATCGAAAATATCGAATTTATTGGAGAAAAGTTGTTTTGGGATGTCAAGGAGTTATATACA